TTAGGGTTTAGGGTTGAGGGTTAACCTACCAAAACCTGCTTTTTGCGTAGGGTCCCTGTACATTTCATGTTAGGAAGCAAAACATAAGAACCTACATGAAACAAATAGGTTATGGTAGCTTAAGGTAAACTCTAAACCCTGCATGCTGTGCGGCTTCAGTTGAGCTTTCGGGCTTTGGAGGGTTGGGGATAGGGGTGCAAGGATGAATTAGAGGCTTAAAAGGTCGGGGGTTCAGGGTTAAGGGTCTAGGCTTATGGTTTTAGGAGTTTCGGGCTAATGGTTTAGAGGTGCCATTCAGGATTTAGGACTTAGGCCGAAGGTGGCCATGTTGTCGCCAGGTAGAGTCAGTTGGCACATGCTGAGATGTTGAATATTTCAGTGCTCAAGTCAAGAGCGCGTAGAGGAGAAGCCATCACGTTTCTTGCGCTGTCTCTTTGCCATGGCAGGGGTGAAGATCCAAGTGAAGTTGGCTGGCACCACAGAGGTACCGAAAAACTTCCACCACGGCAAAGCGCAGCACAAGGCTCTTTGCAACCCATGGGCAAGTTTTGGGGTTCCGGGTTTGGCCCCCTCACCGCCCGGGGTACGGGATGGGAAACCCAGCAGGTGGGGAACCAGGGCAACGAGAAGCCACTGCCATCCCGAGCTAGTGGCTACCGTCGACACTAAGCCTATCGAAAAGCCTGCCTAAGACATCGCTGGGTCTGTGAGTCAGTTGGAACTAGTGGGAACAGCCAACCAAGATTCGTTCAAGGCCGGTTGGACCTCGGGGTTGGCCAAACGATGACAAAGTGGGCCAAGCCGCAAGAAGCATATCAGGTGAGTCAAATGTCTCCGAACGTTGATTAATGCCGGATGGGCGAAGAGATCCATTCTTTGGGCGTCCCTGCAATATGATACTGCCATTTTATATGTACGGGGGCAAGACGAGCAACAGCAATCGAAATGCAGTGACAGCAGCAGAAGACCAGGAGCCTTTGTTAGAAACTGCAAACAGGGGGTTTGAGGTTTTAATATAGAAGTCTAAATAATTACCAATAATTGCCAATAATAGTGTTTCTCAGTATCAATTGCTAAAATGATACTATAAAGGAGCCCAAAACCCTAGTCTAACTATGAAGGCCCGATATTAGGGTGTTGGGTGTTGGGCATGGCATCCGCAAAAAGCAAGAGGACGGCAGTTCCTCACAGGTACTCAAGGAATGAAAAACCAGGGCAGAAGCGCTTGGCTCTAAGCGCGACAAAGCGTCAATCCTTAAACCCCGAAGTCCGCGAACCTATTGAGTCCTTGAACTCTTAGCACCTGAGTCCGTCAACCGGTAGCACCCGACACCAAGTGTCTTGAAACTTCGGCAAGAACTCCCCTGAAACCCCAATGCCCGCAGTGCAGGAAGTCCAGAGCCTTCCTTCTCATTCCCGGCATTTGCCGGAACCTCATGGTCTCAGCGAGCGCCCTGGTCGTACGAATGGCTTTGAGGTTTGTCCGTTCTGGGCGGAGCTTTGGGGCGTGTAATGTAAGGGGCCAGAACAATTACCTACAGTCTCCATTGTACTTCCTTTGTTGGGTTAACCAAATATATCTTTAGGATCCTAGAAGGTAACCCCAAAAGGGAACTACAATGGAGGCTATAGGTAGTATCTAGTAGTTCTATTCCTTTGATCTGCGAGGGTTCAAGGCTCATTAGTACATGGTGGACGCCATGTGTCGCTGGGTATAAGCTGGTTGTTCTTCGGCATCACATCCCTACGTTGGAACCCCGACCTCAAGTAAGGATGCGAGAGCGAAATCCTGAACCCAGAAACCCTAAAACCCTAAACCCCTAAACCCAGAAGCCCTAAACCCCTAACTAAACCCTAAACCCCTAAACTCCTAAGCTCCTAAGCCCTAAAACCCTAAACCCTAAGCCCCTCAGGGCTTGAGGCACACTCTGGGCCGAGTTGGAGGGCCCCTGCAAAAAGAGGCAGAACCCGAAACCCGACCTGTAGCCCAGATAAAACCTACAGGAACATTAGACAGGTATAATACAGAGTTCATTAGGGCTTAGGATGGTTTAGGGTTAATGGTACATAGAAGGTATATAGGGTTTAGGGGTTAGGATAGTTTAGGGTTCCATGGTACATAGAAGGTATATAGGGTTTAGGCTGGTTTAGGGTTCCATGGTACATAGAAGGTATATAGGGTTTAGGATAGTTTAGGGCTCATGGTACATAGATTCTTTTTGGAGCTACGAAACGAAAGACTTAGATAGCCAATGGGAGAACTTTAAACTTTGTGGCCTTGAATAATAGGTCTGTCCTAAAAAGTCTGAACTTTTTTGGGCCTGGTTGAATAAGAGAGAAACCCTAAATCCCTTAAACCCTAAATCCCTAAATCCCTAAACCCTAAAAGGATGGTTTAGGGTTCCATGGTGCATGAAACCCCTAAACCCCTAAGCCCTAAAGCCCTAAACACCCTAAACCCCCTCAACCCCTAAACCCCTCAACCCCTAAACACCCTAAACCCCCTCAACCCCTAAACCCCTCAACCCCTAAACCCCCTAAGCCCCCTAAACCCCTAAACCCCTAAACCCCTAAACCCCTAAACCCCTAAACCCCCTAAACCCCTAAGCCCCGAAGCCCCGAAGCCCTAAAGCCCCTAAGCTACGTAACGAAAGAGCCCAGGTTCCTGTCCCAAGCTCATCGCATGGCCGCCTTCGAGTGGCCGAAAGCCTTGGAGGAGCGCCACTTGGAGGCCGGAAAAGAGCAGAAGGAACTGGAGGGTTGGGGTTTAGGGTTTAGAGGGTTAGGGTTTAGGGTTTAGGGGTGTATGGGCTTAGGGTTTAGGGTTTAGGGTTGAGGAGTTTAGGGTTCAGGGTTTAGGGTTTAGTGTTTAGGGAGGGTTGATCCAGGGCCCGGGATATGTAGTAATGTAATATAGAGGCCGGAATAGTTAATAATGGAATATTGAGGCCGGGATAGTTGATGACATAATTTGTTGGAGTTCCCTGTTGTGAGAGCTTCCTGGACCTTCATTCCCAGCGAAGAAGTTAACATGAAGAACAAGGACCTGCAAATTTTCAGAGCCCCGCCATGAAGAGTTCTACAAAACCCCAAACCCTAAACCCTACACCCTAAACCCTAAACCATGTTCCTTGGGTGCTCGGGTCAGGCAAAGCAACTGCGGCTGGTGATCGAAGACTCCGACACCTACTCCTACGAGGCCCTCTGTCTCAGGTAAAACGTCTCCTAAGAGGCTCGGTCCCAGAAGCTCTTGTAGTGCGGTTTAGGGTTTAGGGTTTTCTATGAGAGTAAGGCTTTTTCCCTTGAACTACGGGGCCCAGGGACTTGCACGGGGCTCTTTGGGAGCTCCTGAGCTCGTCTGGCAAGCAAGTGCTTCAGAGGTGGCACCTGCAACGGCTTATTTGTTATGAGTTATGAGGTTGCTCTCTCGGACTTGGAGTGGCCAAGCCGTAATCAGTGAGTAGAACTCAATCTTAAACCCTAGTGTAAAACCTGTATGAATAGTACTATTACGACGTATGCCATAGGTTACGCGAAGCAGTTATCGTATACAACCTGCCCTGCAAACCTCAGTTAGAGCTCTATATCACACCTTACCCGATCTATAAACAAGCCAGATGCAGAGCAACAGTCAACATTGATGTTTGATGTCTGTCTGTCTGTCTGTCTGTCTGTCTGTCTGTCCGTCTGTCTGTCTGTCTGTCTGTCTGTCTGTCTGTCTGCATGAATGTACGTATGGATGGATGGATGTAGGTTTAAAAACCCGTACAAAACACAATAAAACCCACAGAGCCTTCTACAACCCCCTAAAACAATCCGAACCCTGAGGCGCTGCTGCAGCAGGGCTTCCTTCCGAAGTTCCTTTGCTCGGAGCTTCGCTGCCGGAATTGTGCGACCGTGCGTCTCGCGGCTCAGAATCCCATGTTTGTGAGGCGTGCGGCTTCGGGCTCGGGGTTCAGGGCTTAGTTTCAGGCTTCAGGGTTGAGGCTTCGAGGTTTAGGGTTTCGGGTTCAGGGTTTAGGGTTTAGGTTTCAGGGTTGAGGGTTTCGGGTTGAGGGTTTGGGGGTCCTAAAAGCGCGACTTCAGAAGCCAATGTTTGTCAGGCGCAGCGGATCGTGGATTATACGGCCCAATCCCAGCTACTTCGACTACGTGCAGGCGGCGAAAGCACCCAGAGATCTCAAATTTCAGCCTCAGGGCTTTCGCCTCATAGCTTGGTGGGTTCATCCGGAGTTGCAGCGGGACAGCCCATGGTTTCAGCCGAACGAAATCATTCCTTGCGAGCCTGGAGCGGATCACACCTTCGACTACCAAGCGGTCGGCTCCTTAGGGCTTTGCCTGAGCTTCTGTCATTGGTTTCGCATGGCGGTTCTTCTTCCGACAGCCCTGCACTGGTAGGTAGAGTTAGATTGTACCCATATGATGACGATAGGGGCGCGACGACGAACCGGACAGGGCATGATGACACGCATGATCACGGTGACACAGGCGAAAGACATGATGACGATGAACATGGTTGCAGGGGTAAACAGCGCAGACAACTGAAACAACGACTTTATTGTATTGTAGTGTAGGAGCAGCAGTAGCAGCAGTAGCAGTAGTAGCCAGTAGCCAGAACAGTGGTAGTAGTGCTGGTGGCAGCAGCAGAAGCGGAAGCAGGAGCAGAAGCAGAGTTGCACCAGGAGGAGGCGGAGATGACGGTGGCTTCGCTAGGGTAGGACAGCATGTGCCAGTTCATGACATAGTTACCGAAGAAGACACACACACACAAAATGCGAGAATCGGAGCAGTATGCTTGGTTGTACGACGGATGTTGCCGTTGCGCCGTTGATGGTTTACAGCTTGCTGTTGTTGGGAGTGGTGTTTTGATTTCAGCTTTTTTTCTTTCTGGCGCGATTACATTTGTTGTTGTTCCTGCTCTTGTTCTTGCCCTTGTCAAAGTTTTGTTGGTGTTGTTCCTGTCCTTATCGTTGCGGCTCGTCTCGCTGCTGTTGGTCTGAAGTTTTTTGGGTATTACCTAAGCTGCCTAAGCCCTAAACCCTACTTACGGTAGTACTAGGGAGACCCTTTAAAGGGGACCCTTCTTAACCCTACTTATGGCTCTCTGAAAAAGGACCCTATTCTCCTAAGTACTTACACCGTAGACCCTACACCCTAAACCCTAAACCCTACACCCTAAACCCTACACCCTAAACCCAATACACCCTAAACCCTATACACCCTAAACCCTATACGCCCTAAACCCTCTACGCCCTAAACCCTACACCTTAATCCCTAAACCCTACACACTTCTCAGCCTTCGGAGCAGAAGCCACAGGTCCAGCCGCTCTCCGACTTCCAGACCTCAGCGGCGACTTACCTTTGTGGGTAGTTCTAGGGGATCTGTAAGAGTTTAAGGTTTAGGGTAGGGGCTTCTATAGGGTTTCTATAAGGGTACCTGCAAGGGTTCTATTCGGGTAGTTCTCTAAATTAGGATCCCTGCCTAGGCCACCAAAATAGTCTGGCAAAGTCTAGTACGGCGCCATTGTATAAAGGACCCTAAAAAGGGGTCCTAACTTTTAGAGAGCTACCTTTGCGTGTTCCCCAGGAGTCTTTGCTTCCCTGCCTACGATCGTTCAAGCCCCAAAGGGACTACGAACATGCTATTTTGATTGTGATGGGTTCAGGGGCTGGTAGACATATATGTCCAATACCTTCGAAGAAGCATTGCAACCCAAGGCTTGCCCCCTAAACTACATCCCGAAGCTTAGCCTTAAACCAAGGCCCAGTCGCTGCACCTACGACCCTTCATCAGTCCAACCCACAGGGCCCCTTTTAAAGGCAGCTCCAAAATCCCAGAAGAGCGCGATGGGTGAAGCCCCGTAGGACCCTTCAATCGCATGAGAATCCCATAGTAAGGCCTCTAGAAAGCCCATAAGGCCCTCCAGAACCCCAGGAAAGAGCCTAGGAACACATCCAAAACCCTAAAACCCTAAACCCTAAAACCCTAAAACCCTAAACCCTATAAGCCCTATAAGCCCTAAACATCCAGGTGAAGTATCTCATGACCTGGCGCGACCTGGGTCCGGAGCACCTAGCGGAGCTGATTCAGCTCCGAGCGGACATCTTCGACCATTTGACCGAGGTCGGTGGTTTTTTTTCGAATTTTTTTCAGCTTCAGAAAAGCAAGGGGCTTGACTGTAAGGGCGCCAGAAAAAGGGTAGTTAGAGGGGATCTGCCGGGGCTTTGTTTGGGGGGGTGGGGGGGGGGGGGGCTTTAGGGTTGAGGGTGTTAGGGTTTGGGGATCTTCCGGTTTGGGCTTTGGGGTTTCAGGAGGTTCAGGTTGAAGCTCTGTGTGAGGGGCTTTCTGCTTTTTGGGGGAGTTTGGAAAGCCGGGGTCAGGAATCGGGCTCGGGCGATTCGGGACATCTTCATGGCATCATAGGGGTGGTTTCTGATGCAGGACAGCAGCTGCTCCTACTTGAACCTGGACCTTAAATCCTACGCCTTGAGGCCTTAAACCCCGAACTCTAAAGCCCTGAATCCTAAAACCGTAACACCCAACACCCTAGAACGCCTAGGTGTACGGCGTGTCTGAGGAGGAGTTGAACGACTATGATCTACAGTTCCATACAACCACGGCTATGCGGAATCCTTGTCACGGGGCCCGTCGGGGTCACTTCATGACCCTTCATTTGCAGACCCTTGGCCTGGTGTTATCAGGCCAAGGCCCCCACTCCCTGAACTACAAAGGGCCCCCCAAACCCTATTCTAATTATTAAGGCCCCTATATTAATATAGATCCCTTATTCTTAAACCCCCTAAACCCTTAAACCCTTAAGGTTTAGGGCCTAGGGTTAAAGCTTGACCTAAGGGTTCTGATTAGGCCCTCTCGGAGCTTTTTTGGGTTTCGGGATAAAGGAGCCTAGCTTAGCTTTCCCCAACAGGGGTATCCAGTCAAGAAATACTGTTTATGAACTGCTACGGGAACAAGTAGCCAGATTCTTCTACAGCTCTGGAAGCACCCTAAACACTAAACGAGGATTGGCGTGCGACACTGTTGGACCTTATCCTGCATGTCGCGGCACATGTCTCTGCAAGAGACCATTCGAAGGTGGGTGGACTTTTGAGAACAAGGTTTAGGATTTAGGGTTTTGGTTCAACCCCCAACCATGAGAAACCCAAACCCTCGACCCGAAGAAAACCCGACAACTCCCTAAACCCTGAACCCCAAGCCCTAAACCCTCAACCCTGAACCCTCAACCCTAAACCCTATAAACCCTATAAACAAAACCCTAAACCCTCGACCCGAACAAAAACCCGACAGCTCAAGGCTTTGCCCGCCAGGTTGCAGAGCCTTGGCCAGGTCTTCAAAGCAGGGACGGAGCTCTACTTTGAAGATCCCCGGACAGGGGTTTAGGGGTTTAGGGGTTTAGGGGTTTAAGGGTTTAGGGGTTTAGGGGTTCAGGGTTTACGGGTTTAGGGCTTAAGGGTTTAAGGGTTTAAGGGCCTAGGGACTGTTACAGACGTCAGGATGCCAGGACCGGCAGAAGCAGAAGTTCGGGGTTTGGGATCTAGAACTTACATAGGGCTTAGGGCTTTAGGGTTCTAGGGTTCCGGGTTTGGGACCTAGAATCCAAAAGACGCTTTAGGGTTTTTGGGTTTAGGGTTTAGGGTTTGCGGGCTTTCGGGTTCGGTGATCCTTTCCCGAAGACGCATGGAGATGCTGTCGCAGCTGCGAGCCCAAAACAGGAGTATGGTAGTTGCGGGTCCGAGGTTCCGTGCCCTAAGCCCTAAAACCTATACTTTAAACCCTAAAACCTAAAACCTAAACACTACACCCTACACCCCAAACCCAACCCTGACTTCCCAGTTCAGCTGCCCCGGGCTGTTCGATGTCCGCGCTTCTGTTACTACCGTTCCACGTTTTTCTAGCAAGGATGAACACAGGTAATGGGTTTAGGGTTTAGTATTTGGGGTTTGGGGTTTTGAGGTTTTGGGCTTGGGCTTTAGGGTTTAGGGTTTAGGATTGAGGGATGTAGTGAGGGAGGGGGGTGGGCAGGCGGGAGGGAGTGACAGAGGGAGAGATGCACTTATGGGTGCCTTCATAATTAACAGATAGGTTTTGGTTGGGGGGGGTGGGCCTAAACCCTAAACCCCTAAACCCTAAAGGGGGCATATGATATGGCAATTTTTGCGTGCCGGAGCCCCTCCGGACTGGCGGCTCTAACGGGGTTAACCTGAGGAGCAGACACCAGACCTCGAGCTCCTTCCTCCATCGGTCCTTGTTTCCGACATCCTACCGTTTCCAACTCCCCCCGGCTTCTCGGTTCTGGTGAAGAAACGAATGTTTGTTTTCCATAATCGGGGTGTTTGTGTTGAATCATGGGGTGTCCTTGTTATGGTACTTTTTAAATTAAGATCTCTAGCACGAGCCAAGGCTTTGACTGCAAGAAGTACTTCTCAGCGATTTCATGCCGGAGTCTGGATGAGCATTTTGATGAGGAGTCGGCGGGCGGTCACGGGGCGGCGGTCCGCAAGGCTTTGGTGGTCTTCGGTCCAGCAGGGGTGGGCAAGAGCACGGTCATCGAGAAGCTGACGTCCGGCACTTTGGCGCTTCAATGCCCTGAGCTCTGTTTCCTCAAAGAGCCCACAACGATCGACGGGGACCGGATTCGGGAAGCCAAGCCTGGCTTCTCACCGAAAGAGACCGCCCTAGCCAAGGAAAGGCTCCTCTCCTGGGCCATTCGAGAGGAGAGGAGCCTTCTGATCGCCACGGTCCGCCCAGAGGACTACCTGGAAAGACTGCACGCCCAGGGCTATGTTCTCCACCTCTTGCCCATCTTCTGTTCTCAGGAGGTTTGCCCTCAGTCCCATGTAGGGCCCCTTTTTATACTTTAAGGGTGCCCGATGATTTCGCAAAAGGAACCTTAGTTTAGAGAGCTATACCCAAGAGGTGGCTCTGCGCCGAGCGCGTGCCCGAGAGGCAGAGACGGGTCGGGCCGCCGAATCCGCGGGCTGCGAGAGAGCCTTCCGAGAGCGGATCCACGCCTTCTTCCGCTTGACGATGGCATCAGGCGCCGTTCACCATCTTTCTGTTTAGGGTTTAGGCTTCGGGTTTAGGGTTTGGGGTTTCATTAAGGGTTAATTAAGGTTTATGTATGCGAAGAAGGGCAGCAAGGCTCGGTCTTCTTTGTGGACAATCGTGGAGACGTTCCCCGGCTGTGGCGGAAGCTCACGTCCCCCATGCCTGCGGAAGCGGCGCGAGCCTGCAGCGAAGTCTTCAACCTCGCCGGAGTTCCCACGTGCCGTGCTCGGTGTTCAGTGTGGATTTCGAGTGTTTAGGGTGAAAGTGTAGCAAGCGACAGAGGAGTGGCACGATTCCGTTGCATTCCTCTCCCCGGTGCTCAGGCCCTGGACATCAACTTCGTTTCTGGACACCGCGGGCTTGATGAGAAGCAGCCTCAGGGGGTGCAAGGGGAGACAGTGTAAGACCAGGCAGCTCGTCTTTCTTGTGGGCCCTCAGGGTGCTGGAAAGACCACCACCTGGCGCCAGCACCCGGAGATTCTGGCGCAGGCTGGCCTAGAGGGCCACACGGTCCTCGACGGGGAGTTATTCTACGAAGCCCATGGAGGTCATCAAGTCTTGCAAGAGCTGGAGAAGGACGCGTGCACATCGCACCTGACTTTGGCGGAGGAGATGCGAACATGGAAGAGGGATGCTGCTAGTAGAGCTGGCTCTTTGGGTCTGAACATCTTGCTGCCGGTCACCGGCACAAGTCCTATGACGGACGCAGAGTCGATGGCCTACTTCCAGCGGCTGGGCTACAAAATCTCAGCCATATTCCTGCTGGTGAGCCCTCAGAGCTCTAGCTCCAATGCCAAGATCCGGCAAAAGCAAACCGGACGGCCAGCTATGGATTGCTTCACCTACAGCAAGACCTGCGAACTCATGGACGCTTTGAGGAAGCAGTTCGACGTCCTTTACATCAACAACGACCAGTTTCAGTGGGAAGTCTTGTCAAGTAGTGTCGGCCAGCTGAGGCTCAAGATGTTCTCTGAGCAGTCAAGCGCATGGCGCAGCGCCTAAGGGAGGCAGCAGGATGTCTTCCTGCACAACAGATTAGGGCCTAGGATGTTCGTAGACTTTAGGGCTGACAGTAGGGTTTAGTCCAAGGACATTTTGAGCATGAGCTAGGATGTACTGCATTGTAGGCTGAGGTAGGCGTTCGAACAGAAACCGGAGACCGAGTGCCGGGCCGTGTGCTTGTCACTGCGTTTTCTCATCATTGCATGCTCTCCTAGAGCCCCCCATGTCGGAAGTCGAGTCGGAAGAGACGGGTTCGCAGTGACATCACGCTTCATCCGGGTGTGATGTCATGTGGAGCCCGTGGCCTGTACAGTGGAGACCCCTTCTCTGGTTCGCCTTCCGCTGCCCTGTTTTTTCTACCCGAAACCGTAAACCCGAAGCATATGTTCTTTTTGTCACAAAAAGCCGATCTCGGCTTCATGCTCGTCCCTCCTCGGTGACGGATGCCTTATGCTCCGGGTTCGCATCAGACTCAGATTTGATTCGTTCCGAAACCTCCAAACCCTCGTCATTCCCAGAATCACGACATGTCGAATCCGTGGCTTGTACAGAAGGCTCAAAGCGCGCTTGTTCATCCAATGCCTTTTTCGAGTTTGGAACTTCGTAGGTTGCATACTGACGAAGACACGTAAGATTCCAAAAGCAGCGAGCTTGGCTGTGTGCTGCTCGCTGCTGCTTTCGTCGCAGAATAGCCTTCGGCGACAGGTTGTCCTACGATTTGGGTTCGCATCCTTCTTCTATGCCCTCAGATCGACGGTATTTCTGAGGGCCCTCGAAAATTTGTTGAATCCCGAAGTCCTCAGCGTTCCTAAAACATTTGAGGTCGAACCCGTAGTCTGTACAGTGGACACCGGACCCTGGCAGTGGGCCTTGATGTGCACTAAGGGCATGAATATAGGGTCGGAAGAATCAGTAACAGTATCCCCTGATAGCCCCCATATAGTTCCAGCATTACATACCCCCCAAAATACACCATTAAGTACACAGGCCCTTATACGAACCGTTGCAGTAACCCGTACAGAGCCCACTTAAGGAACCCTTACAGGAAATCCATTCCAATTAGTTAGCCGCCTGATTGTGAAGCTTTCGGCAACGTTTGCACTGTTTTTTTGCAAAAAGACCTGCGAAGCTGGGTGTGGCCGCTCTTGCAGTGACTGTCAACACTCTATATATATATATATCATACATATATATATATAAATATAGGTATATGCATACATACATACATACATACGTACATACATACATACATACATACATACACGCATACATGCATGCATGCAAATAAATGAATAGATAAATACGTAAATACATAAGCAAATTAATAAATCAATAGGTAAATATATATATATACACACACACATATATATATATATGTTATAGTTATATAATAGTTAGAAGGATAGTCATAGCTATTAGTCAAAGTTTTAGTTATAGATGGATAGGTATCATATAGATGTGCCGGTATAAAGATATACAGATATGTGATATGTCGTGCATGTGGTGCTACAAAGCTAGAGTTTGACAGGTGAAGCTGCAAGCAGCTGTGTTCGCTTTTGCTTGCTTGTCGACTCCCGTGCTATCTCCTGGTCACGAAAACCGATACTACAACTGTGATTTCTGGTGTTGACTATTGTAGTACCCGCCACCCCTGGCTGGTGTTGACTACGATTGTGATCCTGCTATGTAGGATTTCGATTTCTCATTCACTCTCAGATCCCTTCTGAAGCCATGCTCCGCGCGGCCCTTGTGGCGCTGGCGACGCTCGCCACATTTTGCGCCGCAGTGGCGCAGAGGCGCCGGCGTCTTGGGTTTACAGGGGTTTTTTCAGGGTTTTATGAAGGATGTCTTGGCGTTTTGAAGGATGTGGTGAGGTTTGCGGTTGGGTTAGGGGCTTTAGTGCTTAGGGAATTTAGGGCCTCGGTGCTCTCATCTTTTAGTAGCCCCTTCTTTGTCGTTTAACAGTGTTGGTGCAGGCCCTGTAAAGAGAGCCCTCTTCCAACAATTCCAAAAATTACGCCCTAAACCCAAAATTTAAGCCCTATACCGAAAGCCTAAGCCCAATAAGCTTGAAACCTAAGCTCGAAACCCTCAAACCGAGGCCCTAAACCCCAGACGCGTTGCATGGGGAGAGGGGTCAAAAAAATATTTAAAAAGGATCAAAGAAATTGCAAAGGATCAAGAAAAAATTTAAAAAGGATCAAAAAAAATTGCGACTTACAAGGCAATTTGTTGCTTTCCTGGCTT